GACTCCATGGACTGTAGCCTGGCAGGCTCCTCTGTCCATGGGATTTCCCAGGTAAGAATACTGGAGTGGGTTGCCATTCCGTTCTCCAGGGGATCTTCCCGACCTGGGGATTAAACCTGGGTCTCCTGCACTGCAGGCAGCTTCTTTACCGTCTGAACCACCAGGGATGCCCTGCAAATAAATGGAGGAAAGAAGTCATCGGACAGTGGGGAAACCTGGAAAAAATCAGTTGGGTACATCATACCCGACCTTTCTTATCCCTTCTCTCCTACATTGCTCTGCCAGGACCTTATTTTTTAGCTCATCTCTTGCAACAAGCGTGTCTTTTCTTCTTCCCAAGTGTAAAATGAGAGTGCCAACAGCCTAAGACAAAGGTGATCAGGTCATTCTTCTGCAATGGTTGGCTGGTTGGTTTTTGTTTATTTTGACATAATGACAAATGAACATGGCTAGTCTTTTTAACCATTGCAGTCTTTACAGCTTTGGGATAGATTGCTGCACATGAGTAAATGAATGCTAAATTGGTGGAATCTAGTATCCTTGGGACCAGAGAAGGCAATGGCTATGAACAGAGAAAGCATATTATAGACACCAAACTGTAATCAGAAGTTTATTTGTTATTTTTCCAGGACAAAAGAAGTGTCAACAACTAGAGACTCTTGACTTTTTTGACATTGAAGACATTTCCCTAAGACACTTAGGGTAACAGTAAGTTACTCTGATGAGCATAAGAATTAATAAGCTTCCTGATGGAGAAACAACAGTTAGATACAGATGTGGAACAACGGACTGGTTCAAAATAGAGAAAAGAGTACGTCAAGGCTGTATATTGTCACCCTGCTTATTTAACTTATATGCAGAGTACATCATGCAAAATGTGGGGCTGGATGAAGCACAAGCTGGAATCAAGATCACAGGCAGAAATATCAATAACCTCAGATATGCACATGACACCACCCTTATGGCAGAAAGTAAAGAGGAACTAAAGAGCCTCTCGATGAAAGTGAAAGAGGAGAATGAAAAGGTTGGCATAAAACTCAACACTCAAAACTTGAAGATCATGGCATCTGGTCCCATCACTTCATGGTAAATAGATGGGGAAACAGTGACAGACTTTATTTTCTTGGGCTACAAAATCACTGCAGATGGTGACTGCAGCTATGAAATTAAAAGACACTTCCTCCTTGGAAGAAAAGCTATGACCAACCAAGACAGCATATAAAAAAGCAGAGACATTACTTTGCCAACAAAGTCTGTCTAGTCAATGCTATGGTTTTTCCAGTAGTAATGTTTAAATGTGAGAATTGGACCATAAAGAAGTCTGAGTGCCAAAGAATTGATGCTTTTGAACTGTGGTGTTGGAGAAGATGCTTGAGAATCCCTTGGATTGCAAGGAGATCAAACCAACCAATTCTAAAGGAACCAACTCTGAATATTCTTTGAAAGGTCTGATGCTGAAGCTGAAACTCCAATACTTTGGCCATCTGATGCGAAGAGCTGACTCATTAGAAAAGACCCTGATGCTGGGAAAGATTGAAGGTGGGAGGAGAAGGGGCTGACAGAGGATGAGGTAGTTGGATGGCATCACTGTCTCGATGGACATGAGTTTGGGCAAGCTCCAGGAGTTGGTGATGGACAGGGAAGTCTGGCATGCTGCACACCACAGGGTTGCAAAGAGTTGGACATGACTGAGTGACTGAACTGAACTGGTAGAGCAGTCAATACCCATACATCAGCTCTGATCTCTCAGATGATTTGACCTGATAAATTTTAAACCATCTGTTAAAGTGCTTTTAAATTGAAGCTGCTGAACTGGAAAGATTGTTTCAGGGTTTTTTTTGTTGTTGTTTTGTTTTGTTTTTGTATTTCACCTTGATGCCATTTGACTTGGTAGAGAAAAATGGAAGCTCAAATTTTGAGCTGACTTTGAGAGTCAGGACTAGAAAAATCCATTTCTGATTAATCAGTTGTTTAAGATGATCAGTATTTATCCTAGGAAACTATTGAAACTTGACTTCAAAACTTTAGAAGAGGGTTGTTTTTTTTTTAGTTTTCTGTCATTTTAATACCTGTTGCATGAGTCAGGCCTGTAGTGGACCTTATAGCTTAAAACAATCCAGCCTTCTTTTTAAACAGCACAGATGTGTTCATAGATCAGTCTCTTTGATGTGGGACAGTTTCCTTCTTTGTTAGGAATGCTTTCCAGCCCAGCGTTTTGTTCCTCCCTCCCCTCTTCCCAGTTGTTTTCTGCCAAGAGATGGGAAACCTGGATTTCACAGCAGTACAGAGTTGGCACCTTTCCCCCAGCATTGCATTCTAATAATACCATATCAGAGTCTGACCTAGTTATTTCACACAGGCAGCTTTTGCCAAGCCAGTGGGGTTTTCCTGCAACAAAGGACCATGGTCTTCTATCACACAGGAGAGACATGCCTACAGACCGGATTATCTGGTAGCAGGCTGCCAACATATGTGGCTGAGCGAGGGCCATGCAGGGAGGAATGCTGGGGGCCCCATGCAGACATAGTTCTCTTTCCATATGTCATTCTTCATAACCTGGCTTCAATGAGCTCCTGCGGATGCCACCAAGGAAAGGCAGCAGAATGTGGGCTCCAGAGCACGAGCTGCTTCTGTACGCATTTCAGACATCTGTAATGATGACCAGGGTTTTGTGACTGTATTCCACCCCACCCCACTTCCCCTTGGCCTCATAGTTTTTTCCTGTACACACAGTTTTCCTCTAGCAACTGCCCAGGTTGTCACCAATAGTAGCATCTTCAGTGAAAGAAAGAGAAATTGAAGAGAGGGGCCTCAAGGACTCTTGCTGAAATGAAGAGAGACAGGCCTTGGCACTTTTGTACAACTTTTAAAAAATATAGTTTTAATTTATTTTTTTAATTCAAGTACACTTGATTTACAATGTAGTGTTAGTTTCAGGTGTATAGCACAGTGATTAAGTGTTATACATATATATATATATATATTCTTTTCAGATTCTTTCCCTTATAGGTTATTACAAAATACTGAGTATTTTTCCCTGTAATATATAGTAGGTCCTTGTTGGTTATCTGTTTTAAATAGAGTAGTGTATATATGTCAATCCTAAACTCCTAATTTATCCCCCCACCCTTTCCCCTTTGGTGACCATAATCTTGTTTTCTATGTCTTGTATAACTTTAAATATTCTCAAAGCTTACCAATTTCAAAGAGCTGAAATTGCAAATAAAAGACCTCAGCCTTGGACATCGCTATGTCTATTTCCGTGGTTCTTCAGTGCCCTGGCTGGGCAAGGTCTCAGGCCAGGTCACACTGTTCATAGTGAGGGTCCCTGGTCAAATGCAACCTCAGTGAAGGGCTGTGAGTTAGCTTACATTGCCAGGGTGCATTCTGCAGGTGAAATGTCCTGCTGGATGAAAGGAACTGCACATACTTGTTAACAATCTTCAGATGCTCTGTGGTAGGAAAGAAAGACAAGTATCAGGTTGTATTTGTTGTTGTTGTTGAGTTGCTAGGTTGTATCCAACTCTTTGCAGCCCCATGGACTGTAGCCCTCCAGGTTCCTCTGTCCATGGGATTTTCCAGGCAAGAATACTGTGTGGGTTGCCATTTCCTTCTCCAGGGGATCTTCTCGACTCAGGGATCGAACCCATGTCTCTTGCTTGGCAGGTGGAGTCTATACCACTGAGTCACTTGGGTGCTTTCCCATCAAGTTGTATGTATTTGGCAAAAAAACACATCCTCTCAAAAGTGTGACTAAAATGAAAAAGTTGTAATGGTAAAATAAGGTGACTTATGTACTAAATGACACTGAGTGCAGAGAATTAATCACACTTAATAATAAAGTGGTTTCAGCAAGTGACTGCAAAGTCCCACCTTCCCATGAATTTTTAATGGAAAAAACTTGAAAAATTAAAAAGTATCAGTTAGTTTAAAAGTATTCCAATTCTAAAGCAAAATTCACATAAGGATCTTGACCAGCTACGTGAGAAACGCAAATTCAAGTCTTTCCTTAGAGCAAATAAAAACAATTCTATCCAAATCTGTATGGTAAGAGATTGTTTTAAGCTGTATTAGGTCTGTTCTGCCATTATGACTTTGTTTTTACGCCATAAGGCTTTTAAGCTCTAAATTAAAGTCTCATTTATTTGTTCTTGTTGCTGGGATTTTTGGTTTTTTGCTAGGAGTGAGTGGGTATTTTGTGTGGATTTGGGGACAAATACCAACGACTGCTGTGTATTTTGTGAGTATCAAAGCATTTTTTGACTTTTGTTTAAGGTTATAAAATGATACTTTTTATAAAGTGATGTGGTTCAGAAAGAAGTCATGAAAATTGATGGAAAGGTTAGATAATATGACATAGGTAGGGTGCAGGCATTCACTCAGTCGTGTCCAATTCTTTGGTACCCCATGGACTGTAGCCTGCAAGGCTCCTCTGTCTGTGACATTCTCCAGGCAAGGATGCTGGAGTGGGGAGTCATTCCCTTCTTTAGGGGATCTTCCCAACTTAGGGATCGAACCTGAGTCTCCCACATTGCAGGCAGATTCTTTACCATTTGAGCCACCAGGAAAGCCCTGAGATTTTCATAAACATATATGTTTCATAAATATCTGTGCCTTAGATTTTTTTTTCTCTTGTTAAAAGAATGTTAGTCCTTCAGATAGGCATCTCTGATTACTGTGTTTATTTCCAAACTTGAAACTCCTTTTCTTGTTCTTGTGGGAATAATTCTGGGATAATTGTATTACATTCACAATGCTGATATTTCCCCATATATTTGTAGAATAATGCTAACCTGCTCAATTCAAGGACTTTCTTTCAGCAAGAACAGACCATGATTGCGAAGATCATGTTGGTCATGCCCTCTTGGTCAAGTAACTAGTAAAGGATGTATTTCTCATTTTCTGTAAACATTCTGATGTACCTATTAACGCTACAAAATAAGCACTTACTGACACTTTTCAAGAAACTATATTAAAATTTATTTTTCTTTTCCACACAGGAAGAATTTAATGGGAAACCTGACTCCCTCTTTTTTAATGATGGTCAGCGAAGAATTGACTTTGTTCTAGTGTATGAAGATGAAAGTAGAAAAGAGACCAATAAAAAGGGTTCAAATGAAAAACAAAGAGTAAGTTTATTTTCTTATTTTCTTTTATTTTTATTCTTTATAATATTGTAAAATTAAAAAAATAAACTGCCATTTTTGTGAAAGCAATGAAATGAAACTGGTGTTTGAAATATCAAGACACGCATACCTTCATATTTTCTCTATTCATCATTCCTTCAAGGCATGGTAACAAAAAACATTAAAAAAAATTTTTTTTTTGAGTTTTAAAAAGAAAATTCCTCAGGCTCTTAAGCTGAAGGCAGATTTTCTTCCAAGGAATTGCCCTTTCTATCTGTAAAAGAGATTTACACTAAAAGCACACTTGGCTATTTGCAACTAGATTTGAAAGGAAGCTAATGATAAATAATGGCAGCAAGTATAATAACAACCAACCAGTGTCAGGGTATGCTAACTCATGGATGGTCTGTGTATTTTGCACGCATGTTCTCATTTAATTCTCAGAATAACCTTGTTGTTGTTGTGATGGTTCAGTCGCTCAGTCGTGTCTGACTCTTCGAGACCCCATGGATGGAAGCACACCAGGCTTCCCTGCCCTCCACTGTCTTCTGGAGTTTGCTCAAATTCATGTCCATTGAGTTGGTGATGCCATCCCAACCATCTCATCTTCTGCAACCCTCTTCTCCTTTTGCTTTCAGTCTTTCCCAACATCCGGGTCTTTTCCAGAACAACCTATAAGGTGCCTTTTGTTTTCATACCATTCTGGATAACAAAAATTGGCCCTTAGAGAGATTAAACGATTGTCCAGTTCATGGACTCTAATGTAAGTACTGGTGGAGCTACAATTCAAACTCTTGTCCTGAATCGCGAACCCGTGCTCTTGAGGTCTCCCACTTTCTTCCCTTTCTTTCCCTTTCATTCACTGCCAGTCAGGCTTTACCTTTCCTTTGCATCAGATTCTTTCAGGTAATGCGCCCATCTTTATCTCAAGATATTAAGCCATTTAGCCTGCTAAATATATAACAACTTCCTGAAACTTCTATATGAAACTGCATCAGACTAAAATAAAACAAAAAAGAAAGTATACTAGTGTGTTACTTTTACCCACTTTGAAAATCACTTCATTCTGTTTTTGTTTTTTCTCACATCTGTGCTGTTACAAATACACAACTATTAATTTGTCCCTCTCTGGGCTTTCTCTCTGAAATATGTCATCCTTAAATCTATTGATCTCTGTCTTAATTTTTCAAATCAAGGATGAAACCTACTTAAAATGAAGGAATCAGTCCTTTTTATTTTGATTTTTGTTTGTTTTAGAAAGGGTAATTTGGGGGGCTTGTATTTGCATAGTGTCACAGAATGAGCCCAGCTTTTGGAACCTGATATTCAGATTCTAATTCTGCCTCTGTACTGTTTGGAGTAATTCTAGTTGAGGCAACACCAGCCTAGAATTACAGTGGCTTAATAAAATAAGTTTGTTTATGGCTCAAGTCAATCATGCCATCCCTGTTTGGCACAGTGTCTTAGAGGTATGGACAGGGCTTTGTTGCTTGCATTCATTCAGGAAACCAGGCTGACACAAAAGCTTTGCCATGTCCAACAGGTAGTTCGGAGATCACTCTGGGCATCAATAAATGGTAGGTAGAATAAGGGAGAGGATGAAGAACATGCTCTTGCTTCTTTACCTGTTTGGGTTGGAACTGACATCATCAGTTGGGTTCACATTCTTTTGGTCAGAACTCTGGAAGGTGGAAAGTGTAGTTTCTGGCTGGACAGACATCTCTCAGTAGGAATTCCATGCTATGGACGGGGAACATTAACTTTTGGTCATCAGCGGCTTGTCTTTGCCACAGTTTCCAGCTAACTGTGTGAGTTGGATGAATTTTCTTTTCAGTTTCATATTTTATTATTATTTGGGATATGCCTTTTATTTTACATTTTGACATCTCTGAAATCAGGGTACATCTTTAAAAAAGTGTATCATAATTTCATTGGATGAATTTTTTATTAGCTATTAAAATATTGGCTCATCATACAACCAGAGGCATCTTAGATTCTGGAAAATAGGAATCTCAATACCTAGTCCAGATAATTATGTCTAGGATTGAATAAAATAGTATACAGAAATGCTACATAAATTTTCAGCAAATATTAGATAATGGATGTTAATTTGTGTACCTTCTCTTTTATTTGGGGTATACACTGGTATGAAAAGGCATCACTCTCTGGTTATTATATAATTTTGTCACTAAACTAGCTTAGAGTATTTTATCATTTTCCTATGAACACTAAGATATCTTCTGTGCAGTCAGGGCCACCATCATCAAATATTTATTAGGCATCCAAATGCTGATGGAACTGAATTGAGCACTATATAAAGTAAGTTAAACAAACCTAATCCATTACAGTATAGAGAAAACATCTTTAATTTTATACAAGGGCTTCTCTCCCATGGTAAAGGAGCCTAGAGCGGATTACATTATTAACAAGGTCTGCATTTATGTTATACAGAAACAAAGGTGCTGAAATAACTTTCATATATCAAGAGAAAAAAAAACATCATTAATTTTGGTATCTGAACTCATGGATTGATGTACCGTGGTGTTGATGTTTATAAGCTATGCTTTTAAGTGTTTTGAGACTATTTATACATGTTACTTAATTTAGATTCTACTAGAGTTTGAAGCTCAGCTTTGGAATTACATTTTTATTAATTGGAAAATCATTTGCAAGTTCCATCACACTCTCTGTCAGACCGTATTCAGAATTTAGGACAATGCCAAGGAAAGACAATTTCAAAATTCTCTTTTCATTGAGAGGGAAAAAAAAAATTATGTCTAAATCATATTGATTTCCTGAAACAGCCCCAAGGTTGACTTTGCCAGGGGCTGATCTAAAAAGTATTGTTAAATTCTTGTTTAGAGGCAGAGAAAGATAGCACTGATAGGGCCATCAGCATCAAAAGCATACAGGAGTAAAAGTCTACTTCTGCATATAAGCAAAAGAGAAATTATTTTTCTAGCGAGACCTCCAAATATCATATAACTTTGTCCACTTGTATTAGTGAAAATACCTCAGAATCTCACACCTCCCTTTGAAAAAGCATAAACCATTTATGTTTAGATTACAAATGGGGTTGATCGTAAGTTGTCCCAAGAATTAGTGTTTGTTTAGCCAGTACTGCTGCCCATGGTATAGAATCCATTCGAGTGTCTTTTTACTGGAAGTAACATGGAAACCAAACTCAAAGTGATTTAAGTGCTGAAAGGAAATAATAATTCTCTCACTTAAGAAATAGTGTGGAGATAGGAGCATTTCTGAGTTAGATAATTTATTGGCTTAATGGGATCATCAGGACTCGAGCTTCATTATATCCTTCTGCCTGGCCATCCTCGCATGTTGGCTGTTCTTAAACTGTCTTCACTTCATTTCATGATGTTTGTTGTGTTTCTAGATATCAGCGGCAGTAAGAAGGAATGCCCTTTTTTTTTGGCCCTCTTTTAGAAAGGGGAAGAAATCTCCCCTAGAATGGCAGACTTCCTTTCACTGTTGATTGCCTCTCACAGGCTTATTCCTAAACCAACCACTGGTAAGATGAATGAAACTACCATCATTAGCATAGACTAATCAAGACTAGTCTTTCATTTCCTAAATCATCTGATCACTTAGTATCTGAAAAACTGTCAGCTTTTCTTGGTAATGAAGAAGGGGAAGATGACTATTGAATAGGCAGCCAGCAATGCCTGGCACATCTCATGATTAAAGTATATCTAAATAAGTTTGCTCCATATTGTGAAGAGCAAAAATGTTTTAAATGAAACATGTTTCCATATATTTCTCCAACTCTTCCTGCTCAGTTTTGCTCATCACTCTTCTTTCTTCCATTTCCCTTATCTAGAACTGCTAATGGGTGGCATAACTGATCTATTCTGAATTTCATTTTGCCTGACACTTGGCCTCCCTTCTAAACAGATGTGTTTATGACCAAGTAATGGTATAATGCAGATGATGATAAAGAGAATAGAAAAGTCTAGATAGCACAAGAACAGTATAAGTCATCCTGAATGTAATGCTTTTTTATCAGCAGAATCCATCCCTAAAAGTTGATAGAAAAATTATTTCCTGGAAGTTGATGAAAAGTTATGGAAGTATAAGTTTATCTTGTATATCAGGCCTTAAGAATTCTTTAGTGGATCTGGCCAGTAGAGAGTACAGAGTAAGAAATTTTCCAAAAAATGTGTTTAAATTAAATTCTATCCAAACCTTCAAATAATGTGAAACAACTTACTAATTGGTTATAGATCCCTTGAGCTTTTAAAACTGTATCCATTGTTTTATATGAGTTATCATAAGGCTGGAACTGTTTACATAGAAGCTAAGTGAAATTCCTTTGGAAATGGTTAAAAGTTCATCAGAAAAGTCTAATAAAATGAACACAGTACACCATGCCATTTATTAAGATTTTACATACTTTAGTAAAGTTTTATAATAATGTGTGAGGATCTTATACATTTTTATTAACTATTACAGTGAATTTTTGTTGCTGTTGTCAGACACATTTTAAATTGCAGCTTGTGATTTAGTATTTTGTGTTAAGAAAGAAGTCTATTGATTTTTTATAAGATCTAGTTACATTGATAAACTTTTTAGTTCCAGTAGTTTCTAGTGCTTATTTTAAGTTTATTCAAAAGAAGACCATGTTGTCTCCAACTGATAGCTTCACTGTACCTTTCTTTACACTTCATTTGTTATCTTGTCCAGATGATATGGTTAAGACATCTTGAATAAAACCTGTAGCACATAGTAGTCACCACTGTATTGTTCCTGAGTTTGGTGCAAATGTTTCTAAAATTTCACCATTAAATACACATTTGCTATAAATTTTTGGTAGTTTTCTTTTAAAAAGTTGAGTTCTCTTCTAGTTGAGATAGCTCTGAGATTTTAAAATTTATCATATGTGCTTTCTTTGTATCATTGCTTTATCAGTAAGTCTTATGTACATAAAGTAGATGATTATTTGTAGCTCATAAGATGATAGCTAACAGTATAGAATATTCAAACAT